GGCGAAAAATAAAATAGATCGGACACAATGGAGTATTAATTAAATCGTACTGAGAAGCCAATATAGTCGCTCTTTTGTTGAATTGAAACATCTTTGCATGATTGAATACCGATCAATTTTCCAATACAATCAAAATTAATAAATTACTGTTAAATAATGCAATTTACCAGACAGATTACTTCAATCGTTTGGTTGTCACTGTGAACATGCAGGAAAGTTCGAAATAGCTACCGGCTTTGTCGAGTTAGGGCATGATCATCACGTCATATTAACTAGTTACCATCTTTGATCTTTTAACGAATCTGTAGAACTTGTGTTCGGTGCAACTTACATTTTTTTATCACATCGTCACGGCATAAAAGGTTCCGTTTCCTTGCTTTATAACTGTTTCTTAAAGAATAAAGCGTCTAAAACATTGTTTGTTATTTTGAGTTTGGGCAATTGGTGTGGATGATGGCAAAATTATCATTTTATTTCACTTTTGAAGACAACTGAAGATGCGTATTAGAGTCTTAATGTTCCTGAATCTTGATAATGTTATTTAATCTCCGGATAATCGAACTAACAATAGTACGATCTGAGTCTAATTTAAATCTAATACTTAACAGAAAGGTAAAAGACGTAAACCAGGCCGGCTTGTGATGTACCTGTTTTTTGCGATCAAGCCAGATCAATATTTTTATACTGCGGCGTGATGTCAATAAAAGAGCTGCCTTGGTACCTAGATTGTCTATCTCGTATCAAAAATAAGACAGAGGTTAGGACAGTGTATTTACATTTTAGACAGTTATTATCTTTACACTTTTATAGAATCAGTAGTAGGTACTTACTTTATTTTAAACTTACGAAGCGGGATCTTTTGATCGGTATCATTTCATAATAACACCTTTATGATACCACTCTACCATCTTAGAGTTAGAATATCTGGTTCACCGCAGACATTATTTTCGGTCTTCTCTCATTACCAAGACTTCAGTGCTCGTATATAATTTTTTTCATTTGTCATTTCCTATTTTTCTCAAATCCTTCGCGTTAGTGCATAAAACTAAAAGGTTCAGTTTCGTTGCTTCACTTTGTCTAGTGCTGTCGCATGTTATTTCGATATTGGGAGATTTGTGCAATGTTTTTTAGATGATTTTAATATTATGTCAGTATCAATGACAGCCGGAAATACGAATTTGTATCGTCACAATCCTGAAATATCTCTTACAATGCTGTGATCTATCATTACATTTTGATCTGATATTTTACTGATAAGTAAAATAAGCTTTATTTTAATCTCGTCCGCGTTCATAATCATATACCGCGTTTTATAATATTCCTATAAAATTAAGAACTGCCCAGTGCCCTTTAATATGAAACATATGAGCGTGAACCTCCCTTAAATATGAAATATATGAGCGGTACTCTCCCTTTAATATGAAATGTATGAGCGGGTCAACCCGCAGAGAATCGTGCATTAGCAGTAATATTAGCAGTAATATTTCTCCTAACGTCAGGCCATATTACTCTGCTATAGTAGGTATATTACACGACAGGAAGTAGTGGCAGTGTCGTGATATAACCCCACAAAAACCGGTGACTTGTGTGTGCCGACAGTGAGAAGGCAGCAGCTGGGACATGCGCTCTCTCCTCTAGCTAGGAGAGGATGTTACCGAGTGTATCTGATAAGTTGTTTCGTCAATCCCTGGGTTCGGCCACCATCCTCATCTTTGTACGTACTTTATGGAGCATTACACTGATTGTGAGTCGCCTGACACCAATTAATCATATTATGTGTCTGGTGGTGAATACTCAACAAATGCGCGACTCAGCCCTGATAATGATTACAAGCTCTGTTGCTGAGGCAGTTCATCGTGGTCTCTATTATATCGTGTTTATGATTGTAGCCGTAGGGGCCCTGCCCCAACTCATTAACTGTGGTTATATACCGACAATTTTATTTATGTCATTGATAAGCACTGTCGACATTCGCAAAGTGTTGCACAGTTTGTAGAATATTCTAGACTGTTTCGTTTGCTGTTTATTCTTCTATGTCTTTGCTCTGGGGACTGCAGTAGACACTAATTACCCGAGCTTCTTATTTTGGAGTAGAGTAAACCCCAATTTCCAAGGTCTCTTTTTCTGGGTTTCAGTGGTATCACACATTTGTCAGGCCTCTTGGCGAAAAGAAAATTGCTCTCTTAATGGAAGCCCGGTTAACCGAGGGTTTATTATAACTCCTAGACTTACAATTATAGCTACTGACAAATGGAACAACTTCGTCACGTTCACCCGTCGTCTTTTGTTGCTGCTGCTATTTTTCTCCTCTCAAATTCTTATTCTTTTGTTAATCTTTGACAATTTGAAATTTACCGTTAGTTCAACGAGATTGAGAATTAATTCAAATATAATCGATTTTTAACGAGTAAATTTCGAATTTGTCGGTATTCATGCCATTACATATTTCTTCAATTATTCGTTGCTCTGTTGCAATAATTTGCTATTATAATGTTTTCAAGATTCAGTTTCGACCCTCAATTTAAAGTAACTGGATTCTTGCACTCAGTAATGTACGAAAACCCTATAATTCTATAATTTCTATAACTAACAAAACGTTTGAAATTCAGCGTAGAGATGACAGAACCAGGTCACGTCTACATGGAAGAAGGAGAAGAAGGAAACAGCTACAGCAAGAGAGCAGATCACATTATAGCAGGATGTCTCGCTCTGTGCATGATGGTGGGTCTAACTGGCAACATCCCTGCAGCTATCTACTTCTGGAAGAGAAAAACCAGGACAATCTATGATGTTCTCTACTTTGCTGTCAGCTCCATTGATATTTGCACGTGCGCCATAGCATTCCCCGTCATATCCTCCCTGCTAAATGACAGGAAGCCCATGTTATTTGGTGACTACACATCCTGTGCAGCCTGGGCCACTGCTTTCTATTTTATAGAGCGCTACCTGGCCTTCATGGCCTTTGTGATCAGCATGACCCGGACAATAGCAATATACGCTCCCCACTATAACATTTCCCAGCTCCCCATCAAGAGAATATGCGCAGCTTATGTTGCTCTAATGGTCTCCTTCTACGTGGCATTGTTTGCTTTTAAGTCTACGTGGATCATATACTCCTCCGTGGTGGTCTACTGTAATCCTATATTTATGGACCCGAACGACTGGTTGTGGTACCCGTACATTGTCACTAAGCTCCTCATTCTCCTTCTTCTCCCCCTTTCTGTCTTTATCAGTTTCATCCTCTCCATCATCCCACTGATCAAGAAGAGGAAACTACAATGCGGGGACAACAACAGAAAGTTCTGGAAAGCCTCCGTCACCATCACCCTTTTCACGGCCATATACCTGGTCTGTCACCTGCCCATGTTCGTTATCACAGCAATGAGTGCAGTGAGGTTCTGGTTTAAACTAGACTATCCGGACAACCAGTTCCTGTACTGGTACGATTACCTGCTGGGGGAGTTCTTCTTTACTGCTGTGTGCTCAGCCCTCAACCCATGTCTTTATTTCTGGCGGATGGCTGATTTTAGAAAGTGGATTTTTGGACAAGCTAAGAGGTTTGAACTATTTGTGATGCAGCGTCAGTGTGCACAGACGATGGTTGAAACGAAAGTTTAAGTAGACTTTTTGAAGGTAGAGCGAACTCAGAGACGAGACAATCATTGTAGCAATATCAAACCATTCAGCCTGAAAGCAATTATAATCTTAGCTTATGTACACTGTACATAAAACAATCAAACAAACAACTATATAACAGGAAATCTAATCTCTGGGTTCTTTACGGATATGTAGTTGAAACTCTACATCTAGCGTAAGCATTGCTATCAAGCACTATCTAGTGTTAGCATTGCTATCGTGCGCTATTCAGCGCTATCTAACGTAATCATTGCTATCGTGCGCTATCAAGCACTATCTAGCGTTAACTACCTTCTGATAGCGATATCGAAAAGGTGTCTGACAGTTAACGCTATTGTCGTTGACTGGCGCTAAATAGCGTTATTTAGCGCTTGATAGCGCTTCACAGCGCTAGATAGCGTTATTTAGCGCTTCACAGCGCAGAGGTCACTACACATCGGTAAAGAACCGATCTCTGTAAATTGTAGGACAAAGATTGTGTGTTCTCTGTAGCGCATTATTTGCTTTAAAATATACTTCATTTTCCGAAGTGAGAGATTAAATAGTAAATACCTACCTTAATTTTAGTTGTTGAGGATTTGGGATGTTTTCGTTAAATTAATTTAAATATCCACCCAAACTAAGTTATCTCTAGAATTATCATTAGAATATTGCTTATTATATTCAGATTGTATTTATTCATTCATTTTAAATGTCGTGTTTACGTGATCCTCATTATTCGTTTGAATATCTCAACCATTTTGGAGATTTCCGGGATAAATTGTGAAAATCACCAGTGATGTTATTTTCATCATTGAACTGTAGAAAATACCAAGAAAACTTCAAAACATTTCTTCGCTATCACTATCACTATCACTCCGGCCATTTTTGAAATACGTCAATGGCAAACAAAAAAACCGGACATTTCCGGGATGAATGACGAATGGTTATGATCCCCACCCATCCTTGTAAATCATTCTAACTTTCTTTCATTTCCATTTCTTTTGTGTCTCAAATACGTAGTCTAATTATAGCTTTACGTGTTACTTATGACAGACAATGTACATCTTAAAATGGACTAATAGAACAGAAAACAGAGAGTAGGATAGCGGACATCCAAACTAATGGATGCTGAAACGAACAAACAAACGAACAAACGAACAAACGAACAAACGAACAAACGAACAAACGAACAAACGAACAAACGAACAAACGAACAAACGAACAAACGAACAAACGAACAAACGACCTAATAATCGAACAAACAAACGAAAAAACGAACAACCAAACAAGCAAACTGACGAACAACCAGACAAATAAACAAACGTACGACCAAACAAACAAACAAACAAACATACAATCAAACGAACAAATAAACAACTAACCTTCAGAGGATATGTCAAACTGGTCTACTTCCATTGTCTCATCATCCAAAGCACTGACACTGTCCCACCGAACCTGTAACATTGGGTTTGTAGTGAGCTACACTCTCTGTAACATTGGGTTGGTAGTGAGCTACACTCTCTGTAACATTGGGTTTGTAGTGAGCTACACTCTCTGTAACATTGGGTTTGTAGTGAGCTACACTCTCTGTAACATTGGGTTTGTAGTGAGCTACACTCTCTGTAACATTGGGTTTGTAGTGAGCTACACTCTCTGTAACATTGGGTTTGTAGTGAGCTACACTCTCTGTAACATTGGGTTTGTAGTGAGCTACACTCTCTGTAACATTGGGTTTGTAGTGAGCTACACTCTCTGTAACATTGGGTTTGTAGTGAGCTACACTCTCTGTAACATTGGGTTTGTAGTGAGCTACACTCTCTGTAACATTGGGTTTGTAGTGAGCTACACTCTCTGTAACAAACTTCTTCGTCTGGACTTAGTGACCGATGGGGCTGGGGAGGAAGCAGCAGGAGCTCAAGTAGGAAATAAGTGGATTTGAGCAAGTGATAGAGTGATTTATGAATGGTGAATTTGACTTGTGGGAGTTTTCTTGAACTGGAACCTTTAAACGGTGACTGCCACATGTTGCACTGGCTGGTTGTCACGTGTTTAAAACAATTTGGGCCACCACCCATTTATCAGAAGATCAGACTTGTCTCTGGCAGTATTTACTAGCTCTTTTTAAACTTTTAGAAAGTTAGCCAGCAGATTGGAGTAATCGTACTGGACCTTGGCCCTGGCCCAACCGACTATCTTATATTTAGCAAATTGCACTGTATATTATTTGACCCCAGTCTAAAAAGAACAGGACAAATATAATTGTTCTACGTGCAAATAAATAAACAGCGACAAGCACAAATCAAAATGTCGACCATGTAGTGTTTCAAGAGTATACATCAGTGATACATCAGTGATACAGCGAATTAAATGTTCTAGAACATCTGTTTTGAACTTGATTCAAGTTATTTTAGAACACAAGGTCAAAGAAAGCGATGCGGCTTTACTGTTCCCTTTAACTTAAATATCACTTTGACTTAGGGCACTAGGAGCGCATTTTCCCGTTGCACATCAGGCACACAATTACCTGTTTGCGTCTAGCGCTAGGAGTACGTTTGATGAGACTCTTGAGGTGCTTCTTGTCACTGAGCGGTGAGGAACCAGAGGGGGGTTTGTCGGAGACAGACCAGGCTGTGGTGCGGTTACTGCTGCTGCTGGCTACTGATGCTACCTTCACTGCTTCTACCTGAACACATAGGATTATGTGACATAGTTAGAATTGTCAGCTCAGAGTAATACTGATTCGCAGTATCCAGGATTATCGGACCATTTTTTATCTAAATTCTAAACTAACAGACTACAGTTAGACTGTGAACGTCGTTTCGACTTTATGCTAATATAAAATATGAAGTTCACAGAAAGGTGTATCTAATCGTATCTAATTGTAGTTAAAGATTTATCTAAATTTCTATAAACTGACTGGACTATTAGCGTATATAAAGCTCTCCCCCTCTGAGGTCTGGATAGTGTAGTTAGGACGCTCCACAGTTACGTCACTGCTTACGTCACTACTCAGTGCTGACTGGGAGGACACCTTTGGTATGGTCTCAGTCTGAAACATCTGTGGGGTCAAATGTTAACGTGATCCGGGGTTCAAATGCGTGGTGTTGGCTCAAATGTTAACAAGGTGCAGTAAAATAATGTTAATGTGTGCAAGGCAATAGTGATACCCAATACCCATGTGTGGGGTAAAATGTTAGTTTAAGATATTTGGTGAAAGAAAAATAAAGAAGAATCTACACTCAAAGCGGAACAAAACACTGGACACTGGAGTCTAACCTTGGATGAAGTGGAGGAGACGTTAGGGTCGCTGACACTAGCCCTGAGAGCGGATATTGGGATACTGTTATCAGGGGGCCCAAAATAGTTGTGGGCACGGTTACTAACATTCTCCGCCTGGATCAACTGGACTGGGGACGTCTTTTGGGGCACCAACCTCGACCTGGATATTAGTAGGATGTTACTTGAAGATTTCGGGAAATTTCCAGGAATCTTCTAGAACTGCAAGAACTCAAGAAGGATGCGTGATGGAAATATCAAATATAACTAATTTTGGATGCATCTCAAGCGGATGATCATTGATTAACGCAACATTTTAAACTTTTTAGACAATTGTTCTTAAAATCTCTAACGATGCACAAATCGGCGGACAATCGAAGGATCGAGCGTGTTGAACCACCAGACCATTGCAATACTTTAGGATCCTAAAACTTAACTTTCAACATGCAATGACTCAGCCTCCTAACGCTATGCTCAAATTCAAAATATTAAAATATTCCGAAATTTAAACTCAAACTAGAAAATTCGTTTCTTAATCATTGATTAGAGGAGACATTCTTACAGGTCGGAGTAGGACTCGGTGTGTTTATCAGAGAGTCTGTGGGGAGGGTTGTAGTCGTCACTCGTCGGATCTGCAAATGTTACTACGGCATTAAGATAGAGTGATATCGAACATGTTGGGTACTAACTATCAACTGCATGCAATAAATTTAGATGTGAGCTCCAAAAACTCATTGGGTTTTATTGTGTTATTGAGGGAAGGAACGGTGGAGATTAAAACGCGAAATGATAATGCGTTTGGATTGATCTCAACTATCACCTGCCCCAAAGAAATAATAACAGCTATAAATTCAAGTCATTATTTAGAAGCTTTACCTATGGGGGGATCGTCCAGACTTTCACAATCAGACACCTCCAGTTGATCAAACTTAGTGAGATCAATCTGAACCCTGATCCTGTCGGGGTCACTTTCTCTTGCTTCTCTTGTTGTCTCCACTACCCTCTCACTTTCCTTCTCTGAAATTATGGAGCTGATTAATCAATGGTAACTTGAAGGTCTATTATAAAATAAAAACACTGAGAGAAATTGTCAAACTGTTGACGAGTCAAGACCGTTTCAAAAATTCCAAATTAACCCAAAAACCTGTGTTGTAGTGCGAGGTTAGAAGACCAGTTTCCAAACTGTCTCTTAAAATCTCTTCCTCCAAAGTTTCTTTGCTGAAAAACCTATTCGTACAACATTAGATCGCAATACCTTAGTTGAGATTGTAATTTTTAATCATGTAAATTATTATTTTCGTTCGAAGAAGTTAGGGCACTGATTGAATAATTTTCTGAGTAGATGTCCGAAGAACCTTCTTAGATCTACATTCTACAAACAAGCAGGAAAATAAACCTGTTTTGTTTCACCACTCCAACAGGTGACTTGACCTCAATTGCAGCTCCAGCTCCTTTAACCTCACTCTTCTCGCTGGTACCCAATGTGTTCCGGATATCAGACGCTAGAGTCACCTTCTTCTCCGCCTTCATGGCGGTATAATACTCCGCCTCACTCCGTGTATCACTCCGTGTCTCACTCCGGTTATCATGGTACGAGTCAGCCCGGGAGTTGAAGGAGACTACGTTTTTAGCGTAGGTAGGGGAGGTATAGCTACTGATGGGGGTGAAGTTTCCGGAGGAGGGGGGTTGGGGGGTTGGACCCCGTACAGGAGTATTGTTAGAGCTCTCACCGTATGTTCTCAGACTTCTGGGGGAGACGGATAATGGTAAATCATAGGAAATAGAATACAACATTATAAGTTAGACAGCTTAATATCAGGGTTAGGCGTATTCCGTCGATCATTTGATTAAGATATAAATATCTTGATCAAATGATTACAAAGAAGTTGCACCAGTGACCAGTTGTAGTCATGGTGGTTATAGTTGCCAAGATATTGAACTATTCCTGACAGATATTACTCTAAAGACCTACCCGCCTACAGCATGGCCCCGTATATTAGAGAGAACCTCGTCCACTGTAGGTGATCTGTAGATATGACGTCCTCGTTGTGAACCTGTGGTAGACTGTGATTAACATACATTTTAACCCTTCAATCACTGGTTAACTTGTCCCAAAAAATTTAAAATTAAATTAATTTTACTAATTACATATCAGGCCAAATAAACTTAAATTAAAAAACTTAAAATCTCTGTTAGATCACGTGACTAACCAATGGAAGAAGCAGAGGAGATCCTACTAACAGGAGCTTTGTTTCTCTTGTTCAGTTCCTTACTAAGTGCTGCTTTGTACGCGTTGGTGGCTTCCTGTTGTCGCCTGCGCCGTGAGCTCAGTGCCTCTTCTCGGCGTTTCTGTTCGTTGCGCTCATGTATTCGCTGGCGCTCTTCAAACTGCCTGGAATACACCGTGAATAGCTTTTTTTAAGATCCACGACTTGAAGCTGTAATAATTGCTGCATACTTGCCAACTATTTCACCGAATAAACTTTGGATTTTGCAATTTGCGTGTACTTTGAGTATCTTGATGGTGTGTATGTGGCAAGGAGAGATGATGGCAGATTATTTGTTCTTCGATAAAAAGAAACAATTGTAACCACAACAATAGCCATTGACTGTGTATTTGGCAGGTGTTGTGTAGAATAAACTTGTCCAAGATGTTGGAATGTAAGATGAACTAGTAATATTGACAATGCTCTTTAGCACGTGGATAAAGACTAAACACAATACGTTCACTAGCCGACTGTTCATCAAAATTAACTATAATCGGCTATAGCTTTGTGATATATCTACTAGCTAGTAAGATGGAACATTTAAACGACGTAAACGATAGGTTATATCTTTGTTATCCAAAATGTCAACGAATCAGTGATATTCTCACTTCACAAGAGAGCGACCCCTTCTTCTCTTCTTCTTCGCGTCGTCAGTAGCCATGATAACCTCCAGTGCGCCGGAGCTACTCTCTACACTGGGACCCCGCGACCGTGTAGCATGGTCAGCACTGCAGGCTCTCGGTTTCCGTACGCCTCTAAGTCGGGGCACAGGGGGTCCCTCATCTGACATGATGCTCAAGCGGGCAGCTGGAGGCTGGGGCGCGTACGCAAGAGAGGGGTTCCAAACACTTACAGTCATTACAGGCAGGTATTTTACATATTTCAACTGGTTAGAGAACATTACGTTATGTAAAGACTTAAAATCATTGGCACGACTTAAAGCAGCATTACAACAAAATAACTGTGTAAATATTTGTGGTGTAGTGGTAACACGATCGCCTCCCAAGCAGAAGACCCGGGTTCAAATCCGGTTGGATGCAAGTCGGCCAGTTACCAAGCTGTGATTTGGTACAGCTTCGGCTGGTGATACACACTCTCTGGCTCGTAGGACTAACCCCCCTACAGCTAGTATAGTGCCTCGGCACAGAGTGGCCTAGGGTTACTAAAAAGGAGATAAGCACCTCAGGCCATCCCAACGTTCGGGAGAGACCTGCCCTTGTATCTTGTATCTTGTTGTGTAAATATTTAGTTACAACTTTAAAAATGTTCTTATTTAGATGTTATATACGGATGTTTAATACTAGAATATGGAGATCGTATAAAATCGTGATATTTTTAGTATTATCTGTGACCTAGTTTAAACGATGAGTTTGATCAACACCGACTCGAAGATAATTTAAATATCAAAGAAGATAGTACGTGCATCTTCAATAACGATGTAGCACAAGTGCGGTACCTTTCAAACGAAATCGAATCAATCGCCATATCATTACCTAAAAACTCAAAATTGTGCCAAATCATGCTCAATCCACGAATTAGAACTAACAAAGCTTTGCATTAACCCGGTCCCTAGCAACGGGTAAAAGATGCGAGTAGTAGGTGAAATAAGATAGGGGAAAATAGTGAGGACCTGTACAAAGTCATGCAGGTGGCATTGCCCTCGCTGCTCCTTGAGATAATATACTATAGTTTAACATACATTATATTATAATAATATCTTTATATTATAATGCAACGGATCTGTATCACTAAGTATGCATATCATCATAATGATTTAACAGCTCCGGAATGATCTAGTTAAGTGATAAGTTAACTAAACCACTAATGTAACTGCAGTAAAGTGTGTCTTTGGTCAAGGTGTCTCTCTCACACACACACACACACACACACACACACACACACACACACACACACACACACACACACACACACACACACACACACACACACACACACACACACACACACAAATACTATTTAAATAAAGAATGTGAAGGAGGTGATTGGTAAGCTAAGAAATTGTTAAGTATTTAAGAGGTGTCGTTAGAATGGCGACAATATGCTCGACTGTGAGATCAGTCTCTCACTAAGATGAGATTAAATGGTTAGCTTGATATACGACACAGCGAAGCGGTTGGAGGAGACTTAATTTCAGAGACTGTTTATTCAATGTGTCTGATATTATTGATATCAAACTCACTGTACAATATGATATACTTATATCATATATGATATTGTGTTCAACTGAACGGATCAAACTGAACAATTGAAGAGCTCATTGATTATCTTGTTCATCTTTTTCATAGATTTCCCCGCAGAAGCATAATTACAAGCCAGTTCGAATTAGATAACCAAGCTGAAAAATCGGTTCAAGGTACAACTATCACAAACAACTTGCATAGAAAAAAACTGAAGAAAACAGTAGTAGAGCTCAGCAAAGAGTAAGCAAGTATAAATATATGTGCTTGATGGTTGTGTGCTTACTATAGTGACACACACAGGGCACACGTCGCACTCTCTCTCTCGCTCTCTTCTTCTTCTCTCTCCTTCTCTCTCAATGTCCATTCTTTGTATGGGGAACTGTGTGATATCCAAGACTATCATCTTAAGTTGGCATGTACAACACAAACCTTCCTACAACCACTTATCCTGCTTTTATAAACTTTTAATTGTTTACTCCATCAATAACATATGTGTGCATCTACTGCTAATCAGTAATCATGCTTGTGATGTTTTGCAAGGCGGTGGATTGACGTGTTATGGGAAGTGCGTCGTCGCTGTTTCACCATTTTCACCCAAGGTTAAGAAACACTTGAACAATGGTGTCTCCATTCCCGCTGTTTATAGCAAAAATGGTGAACACATCTTGAAAACACAAAGTGTTCATAATAAATGCTAGCGGTGATAATGCTCTCCGCAAGCATCTTTGTATCATATTCATTACCACAACTCGTATTTATTCTTCGCTGTTTTAATATAACTGTTTTTATAACTGCTTTTCATGTCAAAACATAACATCAATCATTCTAGAAGACTGAATCCAGTATTGCATTTTGTTAGTATAATACAGATAACAAGCATGACAGAGCTTCAGGTAATTTAGAAAATTACCACTTTCATCACTCATCAGATTTTAATAAACAACATCGATCATATTGGTAAGGCTAGACCTTATTAGGAGTAGAATTGGGATAAACGACCCCAAATATGTGACCCCTTATATGTGACCCCTAAAATGTGACCCCGAACTGTGTACCTTGTGATAAGCAGAAGCGTGATAATGGGCACAATTACATGATAGCTTCTGAAATACCTACAAAAAGTACAGGCTGTTACACATTGGGTTGTGTAACCCAGACCCAAGGCATTAATCAGGAGATGAGTCCTGGTGTTTCACCTCACTATCGCATATTTACTTGTGTTTTTCTGCACCCGATGGTGTGGGAGTTACGTTTCTCCATAAGTTTATTCACATTTTTTATTGGTAGACATAACTGGTCTGTTCACGGTAACTAAAGTCATGAGCAAATATTTTGTTACACATTTTGAATTCTAGTGCAGTGCCCCCCACTATATTTTCAGATGTACAGGTTTTAATTAAAGTATATAATATTATCATTGTAAAAACATTTATATTTAAATTTGTCATAATTTGAGTGACGTAAGATTTATTGAATAACAACAAATGATAACATTATGACGTGTTTAATGAACAATATATTCATTTTAAAGAACAAAATCCAATAGTTGTATTTTGCAAGTTCAAAGTATGTAGTTCTCTAATCTCTAACACAGTGAAGACTGAAGGCATTTACGTGGTGATATAATTTCGGTAATTATCAAAATATCAACTATACAATTATACAGAAGTAAGGTATAATTTTCCATTAATATCATATACGGTTTCAAAGCATGAATAAAATATTAAGCAGACATACCTTCTTCTTTTCTTGTTCTCTATGCACAACTTTTTAGTCTTATCGTTGATTTGTTGTCTCTGATGTTGGTGAGGTATCACTTCTGGGACAGCTGCTTCTTGATACTTCTTTGAGTATCCATAACTCTGGTTATAACGAATCATCCTCACCCATTTTATAGAACTCTCATACTGGAAAATGTGTTATTTCAATCATAATTAATTCCATGACCATTTGCCACCATCGTAGGGATGAGCATTAAAAATACAATAAAATTTCATGTTTCATTAAACTACTATGCACCTATGTTTGTAGATAACGTCTGTCAGATGATAGCTAACTAAAAGTAAGAAGCTAAGAGTTAGATCAAGAATTGTATTATGACATAGTGCAGTTTAGGTTTAGCCTGCTGCACCCCATACTCATTGCCTTGGGGGAGGATTCAGAGCAAGATCAAAAGTCCAGTACATTCAACTATAAGACATATCTGTAAACCTTATTTGCCATGCCAGAAGAAGAGGTTTTCCAAGTTTGTTTATCATAGTTGAAATAATAATTCTATGATTCCCAGGCCAGGCCAGGTTTCCACTATTTTTGCTCAAAAACTTCAGCAGTCAAATAAAATGGCTGCAGCCAAGTCTCAAACCTGAACTGCACAACCAGATTCAAGAATCTCTCCTGGCCTCTTTCAGCTTCGTTATTTTCTTACCAACTAGGATCGGACGGAACTGCTTGTTATCAGTAGGGCTGTTCTTGTTTGTATTAAGCCTTGTGTATCTACACGGCCAAAAAATGTGTAGTGTAGAGCCGATTTCCCCCTTACCCAGCTTTCACTTCCCATCCTCATCTTCTCTTCCTAATCAATGGCTTGATTATCATGGCTTGTCATGGATAGAATTGTAAGGAGTGTTGCGCAGAGAGAATGGCATGCCGGATAAATCTTCTCTCCACTTTTCATTTTTAGAACTAAAGCCAGGGCTTTAGTCACCAAGTGAACCAAGGGCATTATTGTGTCTATGCAGCCCCCATACATGGTCGAATCAGCTGAATCTCTGAATGATTAGGATTGTTTACAGGTTTAATTGTCTTTTCTCAAAAATTGTCTTTCTCAATCGGTTTAAGTTCAAATAAAGAAGGACCATTTAGTATTATATATGTTGAAGCATACTTAACAGTAAACAATATCAATTCACTTTAAATTTGTAGTGCGAATAACAACCAAAATCACAAGTCTCCCTTAGCCTTTTCCAGGTCATATGCTTTGAGAGATTGTACCAGGGTCATCATTGTATTAAATTATAAAAACATGCAAACGACTTCACAGAGTGCTTTGTCCATTGTTAATGAGCTAATATACGGCGTGGGCTACTTCGCAACACTTTTTACTCCACCTGCTCAGTTTGGAAAGATCATTACCTGATACATACTTTTTCAATTATTTACACAGTACAAACCTACAAATAAATATTTTAAATAGTAGAGACCAGTAAAATCTGTATTATTATTAGGCACAGTTTATATCTTTAATCTAAATTGTGCACATTACAGTAACTTCTTTCAAACTTCATGAATCGATGGCAAATCTATTGCAATGTATTCAGAATCAATGTATGCACTTATAAAAATCACTTGGAATACTTTTGAAAGAGAATAACAAGCTCAAAAACATTATGGTCTAATTTCTCTGTAAAAAACACAACAAAAGCGTGAGTAGCTTTTGTCGAGGTGCCTCGAAAGTGATCTTAAATGATTCTCTGTTTAATTTTGGTCACAACACGTCAACTTAGTGCAGAATCGAACAAGTTTTTGACATATTACATATGTTTAGGCACATGATAGACATATTATAGAATAAATGAAACAAAGTTCAAATGGCAAGTTCTACTTCAAGTTTCATACTATAGCAATTAAACTAAAGCAATTGTCAGGAACTTAGATTAGATCTAAAAATATTCTCTTAAGACA